TGTTTTCAAAAACATATATAACCTGTAACTGAATTAACATATAATCTATAACTGAATAAAATGAAACATATAACATGTTTATTGACTAACCTGCGATTACCTAAGTGTGGTATTTACCTGTATTTATCAGGAATATCCATTGCTTGTACCACCTTGGATTATTGTTAAAAAGATACAAAATATTTAAGTGGTGTAGATTTCAATGGTTTTTACTATAATGTAGGAATACCATATAAAAATGCTACTGAATTTAGCAATATCTAATAATAAATTCCATTTTAGATTAATTTAATTTGTCACCTGCCTGCTCTATCGGTATACCCAGGCGGTGCATCAGTGGAGGATGATAGGATCACCATGAGGTCAGGTTAATTTGCCCATTGTGATTAAATAATCAGGAATTAACTAAGATAGTTAGTTACTAGTGGGATCTGCGTGGAGGTCGAACTAACGTGTACATTGCTAGCAAGTGAGGTTATAAGTCCATCAAAGTTCCACACTGTTGTACACTATGGATTACCAGTATTTGTGATAGAGAACTAATAGTATCTAATAATATCCCAGGACAATTCACATAGCGCCAACCAGTCGCAAGCTAAGCAGGGCTTGTGTTATATATAGGGCAGGGGCGGATCTACCTAAGGGCTTTTTGGGCTGCAGCCCAGAGACCCGAGGATACAAACGGCCCCCAATCCCCACTGAAACGATATTTAGAATATACAAAAATATCTAGAATGTTAAAAAATCTAATCATAAGGTTGGCAACCCTGATATCAGTCAACCCACGCGAGTGCGCGTCTATCGGAAGGAACTGGGTTTCTCTGGTCGCTTGTTTTTGGGCGGAACGTAGACTAGGCTGTACGGTCTAAGGATCTTTGCCTGTTCCATCACTAAAAAGGAGATGGACGAATATGGGGAAAAAAAATGTTTTTGGTCGGTATGTTTTTTTAGTTGAGTTATTGAAGTTGAATATAATTAGGTAGGCCCCTAAGTAGGTTTAGCCCAGGGCCCCACAAATTCATGATCCGCCCCTGGTTATGAGTAGACAATTAACACAAATAGTTAAACAATTGTCTTGTAAGAAGTACTAGTGTTTGGGGGGAAGGGTATTGTCAGTAATGTGGACTAATGATCCCATTGCTAGCAATGTACCATGTCAGATCGACCTCCACGCGGTTCCCCCTGGAAACCATCGTGATACATTCCCGGTGAATTTGTCACTTTGGGCTAACTGATCTGACTTCATGTTCATCCTATCATCCTCCACTGGTGCCCCGCCAGCGTAAACCGTTAGCGCAGGGGGGTGCACCATTCCATTATCATCATTTAAAAAAAAAGTACTAGTGTTTTAAACAAGGTTTAAATAAAATATAACAATAAAAATATTTTCATCTTAAATGCAATGTATTGCCAAAATTGCAATCGTAGTTCCAATACACTGTTGCTTATAAGACAAAAAACTGAGGTAAATAAAACAAAGATTTAAAATTAAATAAAATAAAACAATTTTTATTAAAAAAATTTTTGGTAGATGCAAATGAGTTACCGATACAAACAACCAAAATACTATATGCTACTATTATTAAAATAATTATGGCAACTAATGTTGTTTTATCTAGATAAGAAGTAGAAGCGATACAGTGTAAGAAACTTTATATAATTATATTTATATCTATTTGTATAATTTTTTCACAGAATCATAATTTATTTATATTCAAATTCAAAGAGTAACAAATAAATCGCGGTACTACTTAAAATTATTAAGTACAATTTTTTTAAAATAATAATCATAATAAAATTATTACAACCTCTAGACATATCTTTTTATACTAAACAGAAAAATATGATTCTATGAAAAAATGTTACATATATAATATACAATATATAAATACTATTATATATCGTACATTAATATAATTATATAGTTTATCAATTTTTAATACAGAGTAATTCTCTATCAGTATAATACAGTGTAATATGAAAAGAAAAACAGATAAATATAGAAATAGAATTGACAAGAAGCAATATTAGAATCTATTAATAATAATAATTAATTACATCTATTAAATTAAGTAGTAACTGGCAGTTCGAAAAGGCACACTTTCATATTGCTAGTGATTAAATTCATTTTTATAACATTTTATACTACAATATATGTTTTTCTATATATTGCTAATGAAGGCATTCTAAGTATAATCATACTTCTATTTATCATATTCCAAAAGGATACACTATTTACTTATTGAAATAAATATCGTCACAATAAAGAAATGGCCTGCATCTATAATTTATATATATACACGCGAATAAAGTCACAAAATCTAATACTATCTACACGTCTGGGTGGCTGACGATATACAGTCGATCAATGGTCAGGTTGCCCGCATACGACTCTGATTGCTCGCGTATGATCTTCTATTGCCGCATCTCAAGAGGGCGGGGTGTCGCAACCGAATGTGCCAACCGACTGTATATCAGCAGCCTAAAATTTTGCTTATATGAAATATGATTGCTTTTTAATACATTTTAATATCTTTCTTTGTTTTATTCATTGTGTGTAATATATAATATTAAATTGCTTGCTTGTATTGCATTTTCAAACATATTTCATATGCGTCGAAATATATACACTACTCGCTAAAAGTGACTTCATTCGTCTAAATTACCGCATACCTAGTGACATTTCTACCTATCATTTTCCTGGAACATTCCAGAACAGTGTTAACAATCACTTTATTTAGGTCACTTAGGTCTCTTTCTATGTGTATTATAGAACAGAATTGCTGAGGCCAATTTGAAGTGGTGAGACATATACTAGTATATTTCTTTATAAATGGAATTACAACAAGCTGACAGCTCACGTGGGTAGGTGGTAACTGCCGTATATGTACACGAACAAGGATATCACGTTATCATGTAACGCGAAATACAACTCATGCGTTGCCATTGCAGAGACTAAGATGTGACGCTTCTGTATCCAGTATTGTCTCTGCCTTCTTTCCCTTCAAACGAAACATCTTACATACAAGCTTTATGTATACTAGATAAATGATAGTACTGAGATGTATTTACATCACATTTTAAAAGCAAAAAGTTTTGAACCAATGAATATTTTCATAATCTATATATCTACATAATATTGAAATATTAAAATGGTACAAAAACAATTTCAATGACTAAATGTAAAAAAAAATATTATTGCCAATAAGATTTCTTAAGGAAATTCATTAAAATTCCATAATTGAGGTATTTTGTACCGACGTAATAGAGAAGACGTTATAATATAAAAAATATCGTCCAACTTAAGCGATGAGGATCGATATTAAAATATTTAATTATTTACTATATTACAATAAATAACAAAACATTACTATGAAGTTTTCTATCAACATAAATCATAGACAGTTTAGTGAGTGAATGAGTGGTTTGCAGTGAAGTAGCTGCAATTTATTGGCCCATCAGTACATAATACCTCATTAGAGTCTACTGATATAGTATTTTGAAATATTTCTAATTCTAATTCTTGCACATTCAATACCTCGTCGTTTAACAATGCCTCCTAAATTATATTTATAGTTATGAAGCATTATTAGTAAATAAATATTATATTTCACATCCATATAAATATAAATGAAAAGTTAATTCGCTTAGTATAAAATACTTAATTAGTTTTAACATAAATCACATTTTCTCAATTACTCCCACACTTTTTACAGTATCACACTTCGAGATTTATCCTTTCTCTAATTTTCAATTCTTTATATATTTACTAGAATGGCGATCCAACAAGATTAATAATAATTGTATTTAATATCGTGACTAGTAATATATTACAACAATTTATATACATAAGTATGAGAATATAATGGAAAAATACCTATTAAACCTTTTTAAACATCTAAAAAAGTTTAAGGCACTATTTGTTTCGAATAAGGCACTATTGCAACAGCTACAGAATATTTATACCTCTTTAGTGTTATTTTTTTATTAGAGTCTTAGTTCGATCAATAATACCACTAGATTTCAATAGAAATACGTCAAGTAAGTTATTTACGCCTCACTTTCGGATTTTTATCAATTTCATTTAATTCGTTTAATTTAAAATAGTTCTTTTCATTTGCATTTAGAGTTCAAAATACATTGAAATTCTATTATTAGACATATTTGATAAAAAAAAAAATTTATAAGACGTTATCTAGTTATTATCGTTGATCGATGACTATTTTTTATATTATATAACAAAAAAGTCTATGTTAATATGTCAATTCGAAAAATGAACAATGGCAGTTTACCATTAAAAAAAAACTCCATTAGCTACCAAGACAAATAATTCCTACCGTAAATTCCACCAACCGAAGAAATGAGTTAACTAGGTTAATCATTCAATAATAGAGGTCAAAACGTCACAATAATGCTTAATCCTGTCATATGACAACCATAAAACTACAATGATGTCTGATATTATAGTAGTTTTCTAATAATACTGTTTTTTTAGTTATAACGGTGCTAAAGCACTTAAAACTATAAATATGTAGAAATGCAATGACGGGAATGGTCTGTAACAGAAATCAGCATTATAGCGACGATAGGTTCATATATAATATTACATTCCTTATCTTATTAGAATGTACTCTTACTGTTTTATTTTCGACATTTACCATGTGTATAATAATATATATTCATATTCTGTCCTGTCATATTGACAGCATTCCCACATTTATGGCACAGAACATTCCAATTATAAAAGATTCAATCACCTCCTTGCAATAAATACTATATATACCTATGAGAAATTCGATGTTAACGTACTTATTAGTACAAAAAAAATGAGAAACTATTATTTTTTAATAAAACATCAACATAAGATTCACGTACAAAATTCTGAGTTTAAATAAATAACGAATGTTCTTAGTCATTTTAAAGCAATATTGGAGGAGTCTGGGAAGATTCAGTCAAATCATCTTTAACAATATCTCTTTAAATAAAGAAGAATCAAGAACCTATATTTGAAACAGTTATTACATCAGTACCTATCGAGGCTGGTGGAGTCTCGGCTGGTGACGTCACTGGCTGCGTCAGTGGAGGAGGACTCACTAGTCGCGCTGGTGCCTCCCGTGTCGCTCGTGACTCCGAGATCAGTGGTCGGATATCAGAGATGTTCGTCGTGGTTGTTCAAAGGCTGTCGCTCGGCGTGGTCGGATGGACGGTTGCGCTTGAAGAATCCACACTGGAAAATAAGGTACTTATTAATGTTGATTCTAACTTTTTTCATTTGGTAGAAAGAGACAAAAGGTTTTAGTAGTGGGGTAAGTAATAATAATAATCTCAGGACAATTCACACAGCACCATCTAGACCCAAGTTAAGCTAGCTAAAGCTTGTGTTATGGGTACTAGATAACTGATACAAATACATAGATATTTTTTTTTCGTAAATACATACTTAATATACATAGAAAGCACCCAGACCGACACAAACAATCATACTCATGAATACAAATGTTTGTGCCGTGCGAGGAATCGAACCCGCGACCATCGGACGTAAAGCGGTGTGTTAGACCGCTAGACCACCGAGGTCGTCGTCGTCGTAGTGGGGTAAGTATTAGTAATGTGTGGGCGTATTATGAACTCTTATTCCCTTTCAGTTTACGGCTTAAACTGAACTGACTGGAAACTGACTGGATTTTAAAGAGTTCATAATACGCCCCGTGGACTAATAACACCTGTGCTGGCATTGACTTCCACGCGATATCCCCTGAAAACCAACGTGGTAAATTGCTATTTACCAAGATGGACTATTTGACTTTACCTCATGTTCATCATCATCCTCCACCGGTGCCCCGTCAATGTAAAACATCACTCAATTATCATCCATAGAAAGGCAAATTAAGATAAAAACATTACATATATATAGAAAGAAAAAATGACTGAATTGAATTATTATTGCAACTAGCTACTCGCCCGGGCTTTGCACGGGTGTACATGCATTATATATATAAAACTTCCCCTTGAATCACTCTATCTATTAAAAACCGCTTCAAAATCCGTTGCGTAGTTTTAAAGATTTAAGCATACATAGGGACGGACAGACAGCGACAGCGCCTTTGTTTTATACTATGTAATTATGAAATAGCTTATATATTACATAACGTTCCGACTTAAATAGTTTTAGCAATATACCTTATATAATGCGTAGATGAGCAATAACAGCAGTAAAGCGCCAATTACAGCGGCTAGCACCACCACCCATAGTGGTATGGTGCCGCTTTCCAGCGCTTCTAATTGCGGCGTGATTACAGTCTGAGCTTCGGCTATTTGCCACGTCTGGTCCTGCGGCCGGCCTACTGTTGGCAGTGAGGACACCCGAGTTGCTGTTAGGGTTGACAACTTGACGGCGCGTTCTTTGGATATCTGAAGAGTTGATTACAAATAATTAAATATAGAATATAGAATATTAATACCAAATTGGTATCAATATTCTACGGGAGGTATTGATGGTATCAATATTTTAATGTTGACTAATATTATACATTGATTTCTCAGTTTCACTCAGATTTGTTATAGAAGAAGTTTGAAAGGTAAAATATCAAGATGCCATATCTTGATGTTTTACTTTTCAAACTTCTTTCTTTCAAATGAAATTATATGAGTGGCCCATTAGTACTCTGGATAGCAACACATGAGTGGTATCAAGTGGAGCACATAACGTGCTATTCATATATGGGCAATGGTTATCAGTTACCATCAAGTCAGCCGTCAGCTTGTTGGATATCCCAAGAACCTTGTGTCATTGGAATATAGTCCAAAATTATCGACAGTGTACAATTTTACATTAATTATAAACCACAATCTTATTATGATACATACACGCCATTACAGAGATTTTTGGCAAGAAATACCGCAGACTTACCTCGTTCAAAACAGACGCATTGATCCTTGACCTCAGAGCGATCCAGACCTCCTGGTCTTTCAGTAGTACACCTGTTCTGCACCTCACAACCGCGCATTTATACTTCTCTTCGCATTTTTCTAATACCTCCCTCAATTGGTTGTCCACCTGTAATATGATGAAATGATTAGGAATACAGAAATTAACAATATATTAATTTATTTATTTTTTAGCTGTGCCTGCGGTTTAGTCGCCTTAAATTAAATCGAGTAACTTAACAATCGAAACTCTTATCGATGTTCGTCATTCGTAAATCGATTAGCATCTAATGATATCGATACTTGGAACAATTATGTTCAACTAGCTGAGCCCGTTATTTCACTCGCGTGAAATTTAGAGCCTATGTGATATTCTGATGTATAAGCTATAATATTGTAAAGTTTCATTAAAATCCATTCAGTAGTTTTTGCGTGAAAGAGAAACACACATCCAACATGGTAGGGATTCCATTCGCAGCCGATTTCCGAGATTCTATATAGTTAATCAGTTACGGAATTAACCTACACGAAATATTAAAAATACACATTTTCAAGTTAGGACATCTTAAAAACCTGACGTCATAGGCGAAATCGGATGACGGCTAAGAATCTATAAAAAAAATTCAAAATTCAAAATATCTTTATTCATGTAGGTCTGTTACAGACTCTTATGATATGTCAGATCTACCGTCAGTTCGGAATGATTTCGAGATGAGAAGAACTGACAAGAAACTCAGCTTGAATGTTTTTTTTTATTTTGTACATATTTACAATATATATCTATAAGATCCACTACTTCTTATTAAAATAGTCTCCCAACAATTTTTTTTGTGACATAAACACTGGAACATTACTGTCCATCAGTTTATTTAAAAAACGTAAATAATAAAACAATTACCATATCCTGACGGCGTCGTCTGCTAAATGATCGTCTGCCTGATGAACCGTAACTGCTCTCAGAATGCGCGCTAGAGCGACCACCTGAAAATTATATTAGTAAATTGACGTTTAAATACACAAAAAAATTAATATCTATAATAATATATGTAACCAGGGACAGATATACTATACCATTTACTTCTAAATCCATCTACTTTAATTAATATCAAACATAACCAGGAACAATCTTCTTCTAGTTCCAAACTTAATAACTGACGGCCTCTATAATCTAACATTTTAGCACAACCGCCTTCCGATGGTTGCGAGTTCGATTCTTTGTGCGGTACAAACATTTGTCTTCATAATTATGATTTTTGTGATTGATCTGTGTATTTTCTATGTATATTATGTATGTATTTGCTAAAAGAAATATATTTAAATGTTTGTATGAGTTGTCTAGTACCTACAAGGTAACCTCTGCTTAGCTTCGAACTAGATGGCACTGTGTGAATTGTCCAGGGTAAATATTATTCTATTATATCAAACACATTTTTTATTTTTATATGTGTATCTAACACATATAAAAATTAAAACACCCAAATCAACAAATAACACAAAAGTTTGCATCATAAGAGGATCAACCTTGTGACCATCGGAAGTAAAGCAGCGTGTTAAACCACTGGACCAACGAGATCAAGGTTTATCTATTCAGTATGACAGTTCAATTGAAGTAATCCATTAAACTTACCTGACTGCGAAGAATAGTAGTATCCGCCACCGCTGCTCGCCTGAGAACCTCCACTGCTGTGGTAGCTTCCACCGCTGGACTGGTAACTGCCCCCACTTCCTTGGCTGCCTTGATATGCTCCACCGCTTCCGTAGCTACCACTCTGGTAATTTCCGCTTTGAGACCCTGAGCTTCCCCCACTATTAGTGACGTCAGCAATGCCATATTTAAACTCATTGTTTGAATCTTGGGCCGCATAAGCTCCAATTCCACCAATGTTGTCTTCTTCCTCGTCACCGAGGACAGTCAACCCACCATTACCTCGGTAAGTCGAGGAACCGGCCTTCATGATGTCAGAATTCACAGTTTCCGTTGTAGCCCAAGAATTGTGGCCAAATCCTTGACCGGATCCTCGGTTGCTGTAGGAACCCTGGTTGTATTGGTGAGATCCTTGAGCATATCCGCTACCACCTTGCGCGTAGCCTTGTCCAGATTGAGAGTAAGTCTGTCCAGAGTTATGACGGTAGCTTCCACTAGATCCTTGTTGGTTTTCATTTGTTCTGTCACCGTAACTGAAATTATATAAAAGTTTATATAATAATATGAAGGAATAGAATGAGGACATGTTTTAAAGAAAGTATTTAATATGAACTAGAAATGGATGGATAGGGTGAGGATGGCCAAAAAAATGGATGATTTGTGTGAAAAATAATATGTTTAAAAGGAGAGTAAACTCAGTTATGATGGCTAAAAGGGACTTGTGGAAGAAGATGACACATTGCGCTGACTACAATTAATGGGATAAAGACAAGGCAATGATGATGATTTAATGTAATGTAATATATACTTTTTTATCTATAGAAATAAAAAAAAAGTAGACGCTGCACAGATGGACTGTGGAAGTTGGTAATTACCGTATACATAAATTATGATATCCTTAGTATCTTCCACACGTAGTCTTTCCTTAAGAAAAAAAACCCTATACCACTATACCCTACTATATTACATCCATATCTCAATCTTTATAATCTATATACAGTCTGCTAAATAAGATACCGGCAGCAGATGTATATACGACAGATATATCATTCATGACTTTGTGTAATCTAGTCTTTCTTTTAGACACTAATCAAACGGTAACACTATATACTTACAGATGAAAAGAGCTCCCAGCTTCGCCTTCATGTCCCAAATCTCCATATTCAGTGCTACTTTCAGTCTGTGATACAATATTTCCATGTCCATCATAAGTAATTGTTCTATTCTTAATCCTTACGACCTGACCCTGGTTGTAGACACCGCCTTGGCCAGCAGCTTCATCCCGACTCTGCCAGTTGCCTTGAGCATGATTTCCTCCGCTATAACTGCCTTGACTATAGGCACCCTGGTTGTAGCCACTCTGGCTATAGACGCCCTGGCTTTGACTTCCATGACCCTGTCCCGCTAGTTTTCCAGCAATTCTTCTTCTAACTAGTTCCTGTTCTTCCTCAGTTAAGCCTGGGTCATATGATTCGCTCCACGTTTTGTTGAATGTATAGGTATGACCATTGCTGGCAGTGACCTGTCCAGAGCCTTGGTTGACGCCGTACTGCCTACGGGTGGGCTGTGCTCCTGATACGTAGCTACCACCAGACTGACCACCTGAAGCTTGACTGTCACCAGATTGGCTGTAGTCCCAGTTCACTGTAAAGTTAGAAAGGAAGTGATAAGCAGAGTAAGACTTTAATACCTATCTCATGTGAAATTGTAGTTTTTATGAATCTTTTCTTACATGTAGTAGAATTTTAAACGATTCAATATTTCTTTACAAAAATAATATGTATAATTAACTTAATACCGATGACAAAAAGATATCTAGATTTTATGTCTGTTTGTCTATGTGCTAATTTAAAAACGATTTCGTAAATTAGAATGCAGTTTTCAGTTATGTGTTGCTGCAAGCTTCCCGTAATAATAATTACCCTGGATGATTCACAGAGCTGTATCTAGTTCCAAGCTAAGCAGAATTTATGTTCTGGGTACTAAACAACTTATAGAATACTCAGATACCTTTTTTTAAATACATACATAACATACATAGAAATCACCCGTACTGATAAAACAATCATACTTATGAATATAATTTTTTGCAACGCAATCGAACTCGCGACCGAGAAGTGATGTGATGTGCTATACCGCATTTTTTACATTTGATTCAAATCGGAAACAAAAGAAGCTTATCTTTATACTCCTAATAGCAGCCGAGCTACATATATAAATAAAATTGAAGTGTCTGTTTATAATATTGAAATAAGCGTTTCCTACCACATGCATTTGAATATAAATACGGTACATACACCAAAATAACATTTTTACAATTTTTGTTTGTCTGTCTGTTTGTTCCGTCAAATCTCTGAAATGGCTGGACCGATTTTTGAGAGAGAGAGATTTGAGATTTGATTGAGAGATTTGACGGGACATGTTTTGGCAGGTAGCTGATGTAATAAGGAGTAACATAGGCTACTTTTATTTTAGATAAATAAAGTTAAATTCCACGCGGACGAAGTCGCGGGTGCAGCTAGTTTCTAATATAACTTAATAATAAAAAAAAAACTCACCTTGTCCATAATATCCTCCGTTTCCCATAATTTCGGACTCCTTATAAAGGTCGGTAGATAACATTGCTGAAATATTAAAATAAATTTAGATTTTTTATTTTTTATTAAATAATGGGATTGCGCTTTGTCTTACCTCATCTGATGGTAAATGATGGCAAGACCTAGGATGTAGCGCTTACCCAGAAGATATCTATTCACCATAGACTTGAAGAATCCGGGGTTGTATTTCTCCGGGAACACAAAAGCTGGAAGTGTGTTCTACTCTTTGGCAGTGCGTATTAGGAAGGACGATGCGAAAGAAATTAAGCAACAAATATATTTTACAGGATTTTCAGGCTACCCTAATGCTGATGGCCGCAGCTGGCCTTTACAGCTTTACAGGACGATAGGGGGCAAGTGCAGATGGCACTTCAAAGGCCCCGCGGAAGGATTTATGGAGCAGCTGAAGTCCAAGCCCCGCCTGATAGATACGACTTTAGTCTGACCACTTGGGTTTCGAACCTCAGGCTATCGTAATTTTAGATCCCCATTTGAATTGGACGGAGGATCGACCGAAAAATGCATATATTAAGTTTATTTGATTAAATATTATTTCTATATCTATTTCTATGCGTATTGATGGTGGTGCCACTAATATCGCGTCACATTACAAATTTGTTAAGTGAGTATTCGAAATGTATTCATTGAGATAGACAGATCTTAGAGATCAGATTTGCACTCTTTGTAACGATACACCTTCGAAACGGCTTCACGGATGGAGACCCAAAGTTTCATCGTCCTTCGAGCCTTTTACCACTCAAAAAAATTCTGATCGGTCAAGTTCGAGTTTTTAAGAATAAATACGAATGAAATGCAGTTCTCACTTATGTTCCCGTAATAATAATGTCCCTGGATGATTCACACAGACATCTTGTACCAAACTAGGTACAACTTGTGTTATGGCTTTTTAAATACATAGAAAACACTCAGACAGATCAAACTACAGTTAAAGTTACAATGTCTGTGACCTTATAATCTTAATATAAAATTCTCGTGTCACAGTTTTCGTTCCCATACTCCTTCGAAACGGCTTGACCGATTCTCATCAAATTTTGTGAGCGTATTGAGTAGCTTTGAGAATCGGCCAACATCTATTTTTCATCCCCCTAAATGTTAGGGGTAGTCCACTCCTAATTTTTTTTTTATTTTAAGGCAAAACAACGTTTGCCGGGACACCTAGTAATTTATAACAATTTCAAATTGATCTTACCATCCTTCTCTTTACTGAGATAAAATGCGTACGGTGCTTGCACTAACAATTCCTCAGGGTTAATATGCTTCGCTATATCGCACTTGACGTTGCCCACTGCTTGTGGTTGTACCAGCATATACATGAGGTTTTCACCTGTAATCATTAATTTATTATATTAATCCCAATCATTACATAGTAAACAAAGTTGCTGTCGCTATCTGTCCGTCCCTATATATGCTTAAATCTTTAAAACTACGCAACGGATTTTGAAGTGTATTTTTTTAATGGATAGAGTGATTCCAAAGGAAGGTTATATATATAATACATGTACAGCTGTGCGAAGCCGGGGCGAGTAGCTAGTATAGTATAAAACAAAGTATTAAAAGCTCGTTTGGAATTCCTCTTGTGCTGTGTTTGGGATAGACCATGTTTCCATTGCAACACGTTAAATTAGAAACACGACAGAATTATATAAATTGAATGGAAATTAAATATAACAAACAAAGGATCATAATATTTACATAGTATAAAACAAAATCGCCACCGCTGTCTGTTCGTTTATTTTTTTAAATTACGCAACGAAAATGCTGAAAACTCTGCATTAAAAAATTTCAGTTTTCAGCAATAGATAGAGGTATCAAGAGGAAGGTTTATATGTATAATACATGCGTGTTATAGCACAGAACAAGCCGAGAAATTATAAGAATATAATGTATCCCAGCGAACCCGAAACTTTTGTTATTATTTTATATGTATTTTAGTCTGTAAGGTATATATTATGTTATATGGGGCATAAAGTTGCTCAAAATTAAATAAATTATGGTTATAACATTTAAAACTTACCGTCCAGCGTTTGATATGGCCACATAATAATTATTTCTGCTTCGTTCACAATAGAGGGACCTTCGTTCTTGATGTTATATTTGTGTATGACCTGTGGGCCAAGCTTGGAGTCATCTTTCAAGTCCACAACATTGTACAGCGAGTTGTTGTAATGCAGTTCCGGAGGGTCTGATGTACTGTACAAACAAAAAAATATTAAAAATGTAAATATGTTTTTTTATATATACTTCTTTTTATTACATATTATAATATGTAATAAAAAAAAGAATTAAATATAAAACAGATATTATACTATTTTGTATTTGTATGTATGATATTATACAAATATAAAATAATAAGAATGATTATTATTATTTTATATTTTTATAATAATAATAATATTGTAATATCTGTTTTATATTTAATTACATTGCAATTTGTGTGAATGTGCCTGTGTGTCATACCCTGTGGGTAACTGAAAATAAGCGCGGAAAACTAATTTTCCAGCATTATGCTGAGTTGTAGTCCACAGTAACTCTGTTTTGTAATATGTAAATTGTTGTTTGTATTTTTTTTGACATTATTGTTGTGTCAAGACGAGTCAATGAAATTTTATTCTATACATTTTTATGTTATTATTGTTTTTTTAATCGATATTTTAACATGGAATTTGCTTAACATGTACAATATAGAACGAAGTTGAATAATCTATATATATAAAAATTACGTGTCACGCTGTTTATCCGGGATGTACTCCTAAACTACTGAACCGATTGCATATTTGAGTTGCTCATTGTGTGCAATTTGATCCAACTTGGAAGATAAGGATAGCTTACATCTCAATTCATAGTCGCAATATTATTTTAATTGCCTTAACTAGAGCAACACATGGCGAAGTCTGCTAGTTAAAGTTTAAAAAAAATATATAAATACCCGATTATGGAAAGATGAGCTCGCGTTATCACATCAATGATCAAGTGTTTTGTGTTATCGTAATCCGTTCCTTGCTCAGGGTTGGTGGAATTGGTCTCCATGTCGAAGACCAGCTTCTTCACATGGATGTCCACCTCCAGAATGATGCGGAAGTTAACCTGGTTACAAAACATTAATTTAGATCAGTAATGATGCATAATTTTTAAGGCCTTGGTTGTTTACCGGTTTTAGCGCACCGTCTTACCCCCGATGTTCGTGAGTTCGATGCTCTGCACGGTACAAATATTTGTATTCATAAGTATGATTGTTTGTATCGGTCTGGTTGTTTTCTATGTATATTATAGATGTGTTTAGAAAAGAATGTATATAAGTATGTATCAGTTGTCTAGTACAAAGACCACAAGTTTTGCTTAGCATGGAACTAGATGGCGCAGTGTGAATTGATCACGCCTGGTAACGGTTTACGCTGGCGGGACACCAGTGGAGTATGATTTTTTTTAACGATACGATGGTTTCCAGGGGGAACCGCGTGGAGGATGGCGCTGTGTGAATTGATCAGGGTAATTTTTTTTAACGATACATCTATCATGCTCGCCCCTTTTCAATGTTCATTACCTAGACTCGTCAGGGACAAGAATTGAAGGATATTCTTAGGAGGGATGGTTTTTATCTCCTCAGAATGAAGTGGATGAGGATTCCAAAGGAGATATTTCCTTTATTCATGAATGGGCTACAACCACATAGGATGAACCTCTTAGACCATAAATTCAAACACACGCAGTAGAGAACAAAAATTATATAAAATTAAGAACAGGAGGGGAAAAAAAAGATGATGACAAGTAATTGAAAACTCACTCTCTGTCCACTCGGCAATGGGTTCCCAAGGTCACATTTCAACGTCCTGTTTACACTTGGCACCGTCGTCATCATGGAGCAGTATATAGGCACTACATTAGCGTTGTCCTTGTCCAGTCTCTCCATCTTAGCATACGTTACTCCAGCTGGTAGACCTAAGTAGTAACCAGCCTCGAATGCATCCTCGCCGGAGTTGTCTATCTTGACATCAATGTTTATATTTTCACCAGAACTGAGAAGATATTTTCCGACAGGGCTGCGGACAAATTAAGTAATGATAATTGATATACCTTCACGACTATCATGGGACTGGTCAGACGCAATAGCTGTCTTTATATGTAGGAAAGAATGTGCATGTAAATGTAGACAAAAAGAACAAGAAAGACCAACGATAACAATCATGCATTGCCATTCCAGTAGACTACCTCCTGAACCTCTTGTTCTGTAATTGCACTTATGTAAGACAGGTTTGTTTCCCGGGCGGCAGAGAGAAAGCGTAGGAAATACTCTTCCACCGAGTCAATTTGTCGGAGAAGGAGGTTATTCCCTTCCCTCCGCCAGGAATAGGGGCGGTGGACCTGTGGGCGATTGTTTCCCCATCGATATCTCAGCTCTTTAAGATACTTTTGATGAAGAGTAGTGGCCTGTCTATTGATATATGTCTCCACGCAGAGCTGCGGAAGAATGTTCGCGTACATCCGTGGCTCCGGCAGCAAAAACCTTCAGCTTTTAGCCGGTAGCCGGACAGAACCCGTTCATTTCCCCAGGAGTGCCTGCTCCATGGGTCTCCATGATAGATTTCATCAAGGAAGAAAGTTTGTTTCTAGTGAATTAATATATATACTTACGTTGTAACAAACATCCTCAAGTCGGGTATACAAATGTTATCAGAACCGCAGTTCTTCTGTATGTTCAGTGAGTCTGTATGAACAATGCTCTCGGTCTGATCGAGCACGGGCGGCACCACATCGCCGGAGGGTTGCGTCATCAGCTGGTATGTCATCTTTGCTTCTATCGGTGTTAGTTTGTCTCGTATCTCTTCCTGTAAACGATATAAGCTTAAGATGAATTACTTTCAGATTAAACCACGCTTTCTAACCCTTAAGGTTAGCTGGGAAAGAGTGTGATACGGCATTAATAAAAGGCGATTTTGTACAATAGTTATTACTCACTAAAGAATAAATAAATAAATTTTATTTATCGAATACTTAACCGAATTTATCTATGTATACTGCCAGAGTCTCCGTGCGATTCCGTGAGTCCGGCAATAGGTGCTACTCCGGGATACCTTGAACATTATGATCAGTTATTACTGATCATAAAGTTCAAGGTATCCCGGATATAGCCTAGCCTATAGCCATAGCCTTATAGTGCCTTTTCTTAAGAGACTTTTTACAAGTAAATAAAAAGACTATGCCTGTATGGTAGAAGACAAAATAAGTGAAAATACACTGGTACAGAGATAAAATTTAATGTTAATACTACTGCGTTTATTTAATAGTAGATAATATTGTTCCATTGCTACTTTGAGAATTGGAAATGGACTCAAAATGATTAATCTGACGATCAGACCCAGATATCTCTACAAACACCAGCATTCAATTTGCGTTTATCGCATTATTTTGTAAATCGAAGGTAATGATCAAAGCAAAGTTTTCGCTTCTGGACGAAGCATCATCAGCCATTGAATGAGTTCGGATATAGCTTGGAAACTTAATGTTGATTGTTCGACAAACTGCGACTGACTTTGGGTGTAACTCAAAACCATTAGACTATTGCTTTTATATTTTAGAACTTGTGTTTAACGCTTTATTTTGTAAATCGAAGGTAATAATCAAAGCAAAGTTTTGCTTCTGGATGAAACATAATCAGGCATTGAATGAGTTCGGATACAGCTTGGAAACTAAATGTTGATTGTTCGACCAAACTGCTACTGATTTTGGGTGTAACTCAAACGACTAGGCAACTTATTTTAGAACTTACATCTAGATAAGCGGTGATGTTGCTGCACGAATGTTGTCTCTGGGTGACCAAGATATGCGTCGTAAAGTTCGTCTCTCGGCTTTCCAAGAACAATCGTTTCGTGGTCTTCTGCCTCGAGTCCAATTCCACGGTTATTTTGAACTCTAGAATAATCATAATATTTAATTCATCATAATCATCAGTATAACGAAGATTTAAGTAACATGTAAATATAATTAAAGATATAAGTACTAATTCTTAAAAAAAAATGTGCACATATTGAGTGTTTTATTAATTTGTGTTGATTTTACTACAAGTTTAGATTTATTTAATGATTTTAATAATAGTGAATAATCATTATTCTAAAATGAAAAACAAATTTTAATGAATGGTCAAACGAAATATTTAAAGTTATTTTTGAATAATGTATCTAGGTGTGTAATTAGAACATATAGTACATCGATATTTGAGTGATCTTATTGTAGCAATATTTTTTTCTACGCACTAAAGATCAAAGATATGCAAGTTGGGTGAAAGTGATAATTTTCTATGTGGTAATTATTGTAAGATTTTAATTTTTTTTAGTATAACTTTTTTAACACTATTATTCTGGTGATTTTAACATCAAAAGCGTTCGTGAGCTAGACCTATCTATGATTAAATATTAGACATTTCCTTAGTACTTTCATTTACTTGTTCGTATTATTGCAATAGTATAAAAAAAAATTATACAAAAAATAATTTAATATTTTATATATATCTGATGTAATTGTCTTTGCGACTTTCAATTATCATAATAAACAAATTAAACGTGTAAAAACACACGAATACTCTTGATTTTACTGCATAAAAATCACTTAAGGTAATACGAATATACAACATTAGATAAAAATCAAATAAGTTCTGAAAATATTTATATATATGACATTTCATATTGAACAAAACCTCAGAACTCAGTTATTACTTTTAGACTACAATGTGGCACTTTTACTTAGTATAAAAGTTCTAAAATTTAAAAATAAATAACAAAGAAACAACTATTAATAAACCATGGAAATGTCTAAAATTTAATAAACATCTAGTTTCAGTTGTAAATAATGATAATCTAGACACTGATATTGCAATTCTTGGTGATGGTGGACCTTAAATTGTACAAACAAGAGACCCTACTTCAAGCACTCACCGAAGTAGCAGATATATCCCTCCGCTTGGAAAAAACAATACAATATGCGACTCAGAACTAGATCTATTAGGATTATGTATATATAGTAATAAGTATATAGTAATAGTAATATATAGTAATAAGTAAGTTAGGTAAATAGTTAATACATGCTGATGAATCGATTAAATACTTGAGCTGACATATTTACTTCTGAAGGCCGCAGGTTCGATTCCTCGCACAACACATTTGTAGTCATGGGTACGATTGTTTGTATTAACCTGAGTGTGTCTAACGTATATTATTTAGTTACAAAACAATATACATATTTAAGTATTTGTATCAGTTGTCTAGTCTGGATGGCACTATGTGAATTCTCCTGAGTTATTATTATATATCAAATTATATTCAATATATAAAGGTATATAAAAATACACTCAACTATTTTATCGTTTTATGTCTAACAAAACAGAATATATAAATTAACATTAGTTAATATTTATATTAATTTTAGTTATGGATATTATAACTTTTTGACTAATCCATAATAAATAGTGGCAAATTATAAAGATTTTAAATACAGCGCAGACAAAGCCGCAATAATAACTATAGTATTGCAATAAAGAGGAAACTCACTGATCTGCTGGTCCACATTAACGCCGCTGTAAGTGAGACAGAACATGATGTGGGCGCAGGTGCCTCTAGTACCATTTGGTAATAGACAATTCTTTTCAGTCAGAGATATATGCTTTTCACCAACGAAGCTGACTTCAGCAGTCACTTGGACTACGGGCCGAGACCTGAAAAGAAATTTGACTTCAAATTAAAGTGTTGATTTTTCGGCGGTCGCTTGGACTACGGGCCGGGAAAAAATATACAATTTAAATTAAAAAAATATCATTATAAAAGATTATGCCTTTACGACTGTTATCTGAAATGGAGTATATTATAATTAGTAGCATTGTTTACATATCAGCTACCTGCCAATAAAAGTACCATCAAAATCGGTTCAGCCATTTCAGAGATTAGCCGGAACAAACAGACAGATGAACGGACAGACAAAAATTGTAAAAAATGTTATTTTGGTGCATATACAGTATTTATAATCATATGCATGTAGTAGAAAACGGTTATTAACAAACAATATTACAAACAGACACTCCAATTTTATTTATACGTAATTTCCTACCAGTTAACCATAGGTGGTGCAGTGAATTATAAAAAATGAAAATATAATAAATTAAAAAAAAACAGATTCATAAAATGTAAATAAAACATTAAATATATACAAAGGGATATAATAATCCTCTCCACGAATATATGGAATGGATTTCCTATTGGAGGGTCGTCGTAAGACGGATGATATCTGGCTCCTTCTCCACTACATAATAGCCACAGCCATTCTGCCAAGAGCGTATCAAATAAGATGATATAATATAATCGTCATTATTAACTGTCGAATTGTGAACGCAGCACTGATATATGTACATTTAGCAAAGAACATTTGTATCTAACACAGAAATATAATTGTTTAATTATGATAATATGAAATGAAATGAAATGAAATTTTATTGCATAAGGTACATTGGATGTGGTATTTTGAATATTATTATATTGTTCGCACATTTAGTTATTTCTGACATGCAACAGACAATTGTCAATTGAAATATTGTCATTATACATTGCTCATCATTACATACATATATTATTATAATTAATTAATTTATTAGTATTAATCACTTTTTCACCATTTGTGAAAGGTATTCGTCTATATTATAAAATCAGTTAGATAACAACCAATTACACAATTCTTTTTTTAATTTGCTTTTATTTAATTGTTTTAACTCCTTTGGCAACTTGTTAAATATTTTTATGGCCATTGGATAACAATTAGAGCTTGCTAGCGTTGACTTTATCAACGGATAATATAATTTATTAAGACGCCTCCTTGTGTACTTGGTCTCAAAATCATTAGATGTTTTAAATAATTCAGGATGCGATTTAACGAATAGGTACAGTTTATATAATATATACAATACACAGTTTATATAATATTACAATTACAAATATCTGTTCTAGAAACTACAAAGGCTGAATTTAAAAAATAGTATTCGAATATTACATTAATAAAAAAATATACAACTCTGCAAGACAACTTTTGGGTAGAGGAGAGAAGGCAGAAAGTGGTAGACGCAGCAAGAATGGACTAGAGAAATTTACTCACTTGAAAAACACAGCGCTATTAGACTTGTAAGCACCGACAACCAAATCGGGGTAGTTATTGTTGTCTAAATCTATGCCTCCAGATAATGAGAAACCGAAGGTAGTCAGGGTCGGAGAGATCTCCTCAGCAGTTATAGCCTGGGAATACTTTTCCCGGATTCCGGTGATACTGCCTTGGTATATGTAGACCACACCACGGCCATTCTCGCCAGCATATGGGGCGCCAATGGCAATATCTATAATTTCAACGTCGTTAGTCCTAAAAATATTGTTTTTTTTTCTATGGAATAATAAAGTAAAATAGAAATAAATAATTGTGCCCAAAATTTATGGAACTTAACATGATTTTGATTTTGCGAAACAAAACAATTGCAGATTGGGTGTCTGGACCCTATAAACAAAATATACAAAGCGGCTGAAATAAGTGAAGGTAATATATCCACGCAGTCCACTGATTCTAGATATATCAATTTTGTATTATATAAAAGTAAATTTACCTCCAAATCCATCATAGTTGATATCACCAAGCGACGTAATAGACAAACCAAATCTTCCCTTTGATACTTCGCCAGTTCGAGAGTGGAATTTTGTGAATGACTGTAAAATATATTTATTATTTTACATAATTGCAACACTATACATACAAATTTGAAATTTTTACAAAAGGTAAGTACAGAGCTTAAAGTGAAAATAATTAATTTAATTAGAATTAGCGGTTGAATGCGACCTCTGTAATGGTGTTCGTAACTAAACCTTGGTATTGCAGTCGGTAAGAATTCCATATATTCCCTTGTCACCTCTCTGAAGGGTGGACGGTCTATTGAAGACTTCTTCGTGATAAAAGAAGGGTTGAGAATCGGAATAAACAGAAAAAGAATTACCCTATCCTTTCCCTGGTATACAATGTAGACTCTTCCATGTTCATAGCCATCACTCCTGGGTTTGACGAACATAGGAGCACCGATAACGATGTCATCGGCGCCATCGCCGTCGAAATCTCCAGAGGCGAGACAGTAGCCGAAGTATGCCCCAATTTGAGTGCCAGTGAGATTCTTTATTGGCTGCAGTTCCCATGTGTACAATACAACCTGGAAATTATAGAAAATAGTTTTAATTTTTATGGACTACAAACTGTGTGCTATGCTCAGGCTTTTCGGAAGAATGTATAAAAACTCATAAACGTTACATATCTCTACAATGATACTGAATTTATATGTTTTTTATATAGCATACTGGACAAACGAGCGTCCAGCTCACCTGATGGTAAATGATTACCTCTGTCCATGAGCATCCACAACATCAGGGATTCCGAGTGTATTGGAGGCCTATTAAGAAGGAGAAAGCTCTTTTCTCGAAGGTTTCAATATCTTATCAGTTCTAAAATGGAGGTGATTTCACAATATGGTTGCGCGTGGCAACAACTCTCTGAAAAAACGCATGCTGGAAGACCTCAATTCATCCAGATGATCAGTATGGTATTTTAGTTTCTGGCGGGTAGTGCGTAAATTTATAATTTAATCATTATTACTCACCAAACCTTTTAAGTCGGCTCCTCTAGGTACTCCTACCGCGACACTTTGGATTCCAGGACCTTCAAAGTCACCAACAGTAATCGAATAACCCATATATGAGTTATCGTATTTTGGATTTGATTCAGGCGTCGCAATAAGATAAGTTGAATTTCTGGAATACAGCCTACCTAGAATTGTAATAATTAATTTTAGCAAAAACATATTAATAATTAGAGCATTGTAACCAGTCTCTGAATTGTATAATATATTTAATTGAATTATAATTGATTACGGTCACTTTGAAATTGATTTATTGCAAAAGAAAATTCAGAAACTTAAAAGACTGTTTAAATCGTTGTTACAAACCTTGGAAGCCTTGTGGTTTTGTTTAAAGTTAAAAACCACTTGAATTAAATATTTTACTAATTAGTAATCATACTATTACTTAAATTATTTATTTTTACTATTACATTTATTATTTATCTATTTAATCTATGATGCTATTTAATAAGCAACAAGAATAAATGTTTAATTTTAAATAACAAATTTATCTAAACACTGAAAAGCTAATCCACTTTTGGTGTATTAGTCGTTGCTACAACATGGATACTAATGTATGACAATATACATTCGTAATCTTGACTTATTATCCACTTAAAAGATTTAATACACTTTATTGATTTAAAATTTTATTTGAAGTTTGCTTAATTCTGATATAATAATAACATTAGTATAAACATTCCATAAAAAATATATTATATATAAGTGATACTATACTTTTATGTGGATAATATGACAGTTATATGAATAGTGAACTACTGATACTAAAGTGTTGATGATTAAGCAATACTACGAGTATCACAGCGAGATGTATGTATTGTCGATTGGAGAAGTTTTCCTAATAATTTAAATCAATATTATAGAGGCATTTACGATTTAAAAGTGCTAATTACTATAGCACTTCAGTTTCTTGTTTAATATTAGAATTCACACCTTATAAAAAACCACGATGAAATAATATTTTTAATATGTTAAATTTATCACCAAAGCCACGTTACAGCGACCAAATATTATAAAAGCCAATGAACAAAAAAAAATTTGTCTTTGAATTAGTTTATTTCCAAGCATGGACGCTATTTTTTGTTATGTATGTTGTTTGAAGCGTTAATAAAAACCTGTTTACCAGAGTACTCTAAGGAGGAATAGACCCAATTGTAAAATTCCTTTCCGTAAGATGTATTTATTACTTATGGGGATAGTATTTATAAATGTTTTTATGAATCCATGTTCGATTGAATTTACAACATGACAACATCCAAATAAATAATGTACAGTTAACTTATAATGAAATGGGTACTAAATACTAAGAAATATAAGAGATAACATATCGTGCAGTGTTATAAGTCCATTTCTAATCACTACATCTAAAATGAATGAGCATAACTAACATAGATTATAGGTAGGAACTTTTAGAATTATATAGGTATTTGGTGGAAACCGAAGATGGTATATTTAGCACCATTAGGGTAATATGTACTGCTCCGCAATTTTTGATGCCAGTGACTGAATATTTGATAAATGATTACATGATCATTCTTAAATTAACATTTTGCATCATAATTGTGGAACAGTTTTGGTTTAAATCTATTCTTCACATTCGAGTGTATGCTTTGAGCATTTTTATGCAACTTTTATAGCCCTCAATATAATATATATCTTTGATATTATTGACTGTTATCCCCAAATGTAATATTTCTATGTAATATATATTTGTATGAATATCGCAATTATTATTAATATTATTAGTACATTGTCCAAAAATTATGTCTAGTTTGTGATATTTCCCGAACATTAAGAACGAGATTTAACCAGTTATAAATGGTCACTGCTCAATAGGCAATTATTTTTAGAATTAGGCGCTCATAAGCCTGTGTTATGGATGTATGCTACATAACATAGGCGTAGACTATGTTATGTTCGGTTAAAGAAATTAAATGGTCAATTGGCGATACGTTAGCTGTTTACCTTCTTCTGGTATAGGTGCCATAAAGTAGTGGTTGTGTTCGATGGTAATATCTATCGATAACGTTCGCCCTGTGGATTTGGAGTAATTAAAATTTCATCAACAAATAACAATATGAATTTCCTAATTATAATTTAATCTTTAACACAGTTCGCTTCCGGTCCTAAATATTAGGATTTAAGATACGAGAAAATTCAAACTCATGCTGGATGAGTCTCTTATCAAACATTGATGCTATTAGGATTAATTACATCACTTAAAGTAAATACATTTATACATCAACCACGTAATACTCATACAGATATGAAATAAGATGTATATATATTTGTATTCATTAAGTATCGAAATAGATAATGAATTCGTAAATGCAAACATCTAGTTTTAGATTTTAAAAGAGTTTAAAGAAATAGATACAACTAATGTATTAACCGCCCATGTAAAAATGATAATTGAACATCACATTTTGAAGGAAAACGAAACTGACAATGACACAACCACCATATATACCACCGCCTAGAGAATTGAAACAAAAATTAATATCAAATATGAATATCATATTTACCTTGCCAAAAGAAGCTTCCTGGAGCACCCATGAACAAACGCATGCCATCCTGAAAAATAAATGCAGTCCCTGATAAATAAATATTATAGTATAAATAATAAAAAATATATACTAAATTTAGTTGCAGTTGAATAATATAGTAATCATAATTTTGCTAAATTGAAACATTGTAACATTTTTTATTACAATCTTAAACAACACAAAGCAAAATACAATACCATTACAATTTAGAATAGATATTCGACAAGTATTCACTAAAATACTCGTCGAATCCATAACAACATTGCGCCTAATGTTTTACGACTGATCAGTGTAGACGGCTGATTCATTTTTATGGACCCACTTATGGTAATGCAAGAGCTCAGCCTAATTGCAATGGACCAGATAATAATACGGGTTTATAAGTGTGTGAAGTCCTTTTATCACACTTCCTGAGAGCTGACGAAACGATCTCGAGAGGATCTACAATTACTGCCGATGCTATAAAAGAGGCATAAAAAGAAAGGTTTTAAAATACCGACACAAATTAATGTGTCAATTCATCATAAAGTTACTTTATTATTACATCATTATTTACAAAGCTTAAGCACGTGTTTCTTTAATGATGAAAACTAGCCATAAAAATTAAAAATTGTATAAAAATTAATAATGTAAAATTAATAAATGTAAATCTTAAAAAGTTACTCCTCAAAATTAAACACATCTGAACATAGTTTCCTAAAATATCATTACAGTGTCAAAACTTTGTAAATAAAATAACTTTAAAAAGTACTACAAAACAGGAGAGTAAAAAAATAAAGGTAGACACAGCTACTACTTCATTTATGTAATAATTTGTTGATGCATCTAATGACACTGGCAAGCCTTGAACCATATGGTGCGTCATAATATGGTCCAAGTTATGAAGTATTGGCTGGAATACTTTTTAATAATTGAGCCAATATCTACAACAGATCCATCAATAAAATCGAAATTACGAATACTAAATATAAAAATATACAGTAAGTTGGTCTATTAAAATATAGTAATGATTGTAGAAACTGGTAATAAACCTGAACCGTCAGGAGATGCTAAATGGAATGAATACAAATTAATGAGCAATACATTGGCTAAATTAAAAGTAATCAATACAGATTGCCCCTAGTTATAATATAAATTAAATGTCAGATAATTTATACATTCAATTGGCAGTAGCTATAACTCATAAACAGCATATTTTTTTTATAATTATTCAAACCATGTTCAAAAATAAATAAGTCTCGCTGGTCAATTAAGTAATATGAGAACTAGGCTAAACTGTATTGGGCACATATGTATATTGTTTAGTTTAGTTTTAGACTTAGGAAAAAAGTATTCTTGAATTAATAGTATAGTGTACCAACATAAAGTATCCATTGCCAGTAGCTACAAATATACCATATAAAATATTTGTAGCTATTACTACTTCCTTGACTATTATCATTGAATGCATTTCATTGAATGCTTCATTTCATGAATCTTTCGCTAATTGTTGTTAATTAAAACAAATAAATGCATATTCTTTGTAAATATGGTTATTTCAAAGATTTATTTAATGATAACAGTTCTATCTCTACAGATATAGAATAGGTCTCTCAAGAAAATAATATCATAATTTATTTTATGACTTCACTTAAACAACTTAAATAACATCAGGATCGGTAATACTAAAATGGATGGAAGAACAGAAACTTACATTAAATTTCTGAACTCCCATCTAGCATAGCTAGTTGCTTGTATTTCATTCTTGGGAGCTGATTGACCGTGAGATGGTGATGGTGAAGGAAAAATATTACAAGACAAAGCAATCGTCGTCGCTTCAACTTTAAGTCAATCGCCAGTTAAGATGCGACAAAAAACAGACCCCCAAACAAATCCTGACGTGTGAACATGCCTGATAAGCGCTTAATGGTCCGAGTGTGGTAAAGCAAAAACTATTAGAAAAAGTTGAAAAAATCACTTTATCTATGTTCTGCGCACGATCGACACTATTAAAACATCTGATTAAATTTTGTTAGTTTATTCTAAATTAAGTAGTAGGTATAAATTTCCTTGGAAAACAACGTGACTGGAGATTTTTTGTTTAGACATTTACACCACATTCTTGGAAGTTTCTACACGTAAAGTACTTATAAAACTTAGTTTAAGAAACTGTGTATAGTTAACAATACTCTGTGAATAAAATCTGCAAGAAAATAAAAAATAGTGACTACTGTACTCGTATTTAGAAGATCAAATCTCATTATCTGCCGGCCTGGCGATTTACGATTTAGTTGTAACCATGGATTGGTTACAACTAAATCGTCAATCGCAAGGATGACATGAATGTCATCGCGGAATCGTTACATCTTAAAGTATATATATTGTCAAAACTTCTGAATATTCGTAAAATCAATTTATTCAATTCTTTGATGCAAATCGTAAACCACAATAAATATTATTGAGATAACATAAAATCAAGATGCGCGGGCGCCTCCATTGCAATCCAATGAATAAATATGCGAATACGACTCGGCTCATGTCACGCCATATACAGAGCTACAAGCGGTCTTACGGCGGCTTTCGGCCATGTTCTGTAGGGGCACAATGTCAAAACTATATTTTATGGGGACCTCAGATCCTCTTTACATCCAATATAGGTACTACTGTCAGGATCCTGTTAGTGGAATCAGTGTATCAAAAAGAATTTTAAAACATATCAGCCAAAACAACAATAACTGATAGTTTATTGGATAATAAACTATCAGTTATTGTTGTTTTAGCAAAATTGGAAGAAATTACGTTAGCAGTAGCAGTTTCATGTTTTAAGTAGATCCTTTGGCTTTATATTTTGTAGAATATCTTTTATCCTAATTATCCTTTATAGAATAGAATATATATAGTGCCTATAAGTTCTATTCTCTTACATCAATTTCTTAACAAATTATTTGCACGCCCAGTTTAGATTCTAACGACTCGTACGAAATGTATATATGTACTACATTTTTTATACAATTGTAAATAGATAAACTACCTGAGCCTGTGTGAAATTTACAGCCTATATATTATTCTGATGTAAGAGCTATATTATTATTGAGTTTCATTAAAATACATTCACTAGTTTTTACGTGAATTAATAATAAACATCCATCCTTACAAACTTTCGCATTTATTATAGCTCTAAAAATTGAGTGCATATTATTTGAAGAAAATTTTGTCTCATATGATTCTACTTTTACTACAAAGGAAATCATAGATAGTATATCTCTTCCTACTTCTCTTAAACAATAGTATTAAGTGCAAAGATTATCTTTAGATGATGTAGTAGTTCTACATATGCATATTTCTATACTACTTAGAACGATAAAATTACTACCCTTAGATAATTTTGTCATTACCATTTAACAGCAATTAAACTAAAACAATATTATCTATTCAAAACGGAAGACAAAGGACTTTTGGAGATAAATAAAATAAACGTAAAGGGAAAGCAATAAACGCAACAAGACGTGAATAATTGAATATTCAATAGTACAACGCATAAATATTGGAAGCATTTAAAACCCAATACGTTTTGCGTACAGGCACCTGCGAGTGTGCTAATGCCTACGCCGCACTATTCAATTGAAACATTGTGCGAGAATCAATGAATATGGACGACGTATGGTGAGAATTAATTTTAATGAGAATTTCTGAACATATATTAGCGGCTTAACAAGTTAAGCTTTGAAATGTTCGTTTGAAGTCGTTTCATGAAAGTATCGTTTACAAACTTGCAAAATACTGAGTTCTTGCCAATAAATTAGGTATTATTTAGAACCTTATGAAATAATTTTAAAACTTCAAGCTAAATCTGTTGCAGTTGTTTGCAACATATTAACATAAATACAACAGTGATTTTATCTTTCTTAAACGTTGGGCTAAACACATTGCATTCACAATTATGTAAGATTTCGTAATACATTCATGAAGATAGTAACTTTGAATTTAGGTTATCTATGACAGCGATAACGGATATAAATTCCATTCACAGAAAACAAATAATACATACGTAAACAAAATAATTATACCTAAAGAAATCATGTAAAAATCTATATAATTAAAAAAACTAATTTACCCAGAAATAATAAACGAAATGCACCTTTGATGTTGGGAATATCAAATACCAAATAGAATGATGACACCAGAAATAGAAGAAGTCTGTCGACGGTTGAAAGCTGAATAACAGCGGGAACGAAAAAGCAATCCGCTCAAAATAGCGTATATCAGAGACAAATCCCCGTTCGTCGCCATGTTTAGCGAAGGTGCACGGGCGTTTTCCCGCCAACTGCTATTGTCTGCAAATGGCTACCGTTTACGCTCGCGTTCCGAAACCATGTTTGTAAAACAATGTTGTAACGTCAACGACGTTTGTTTTAAACTCTACGGGGGACAATTCTCTGCTGACATGACCTCATTTGACAGTACAAACAGCTTATTTGAATAAAATAGGATTAGGCTGTACGTCAATCCACCGTTGCCTGTCCCATCTACGGCAAGGATGGGACAAAAGAAAAAAAAATGGAATGTTCAACATTTTGAACAAATTGTTACAAATGTTTCATTTTGGTACTAAATACTTAAAATTATCTATATTATTGAATACCCAAGGATTGATTATGAAATGCCCACTGCGTTAATTCGTTTTTTATTTTAAACATATTAAAAATTAAAGTCATAAATATTTAAACTGAGACTGAGTACTGCATCTGTTTACTGACAATTTATTTATAAACATGTGATTAAATTATATATATGTAATCCTCGGTGGTCTAGCGCTTCATCACGCCGCTTAATTCCCAATTATCGCCGGTTCGATTCCTCGCACAGAATAAACACAATTATGATATGAGTACAAAATTCAAGAGTATATGAAGTATGTATTACATTTACAAAGGGGATTGTTAGTAATGTGGACTGTTGACCCAATTATTACCAATGTACCATCAGGTTGATCTCCACGCGGTTTCTCCTAGAAACCATTATGACAAATTCTTGGAGAATTTGTCAAGG